GAAATAAGTAAAAGGTCTTAAAAAGAAAGAAGAATTGCCAAGATGTCAGATGAGGCTCTGAAACTGTCTCTTAAACATAAATAACAAAAGTGAATGAAAGAAATGGTGAAGTAAAATAGTTGGACAGAAGATTTCAAAGGATAGCTTGAGAAGACAAAGTAAACTATTGTAATGAAATGTGCAAAGACCTGGAGTTAGAAAACCAAAGGAGAAGCGTATGATCAGCACTTCTCAAGCTGAAAGAATGGAAGACCGGTTCAGGACTCAGGTTGTAACATGGAAGGATTCTATGGGAAAGATATTGAATGATGCAGGAAGCATCTAAAGAGGATGGAAAGAACACAGAGTCACTGTGCCAAAAATAATTGATCAATGTTCAACTATTTCAGAAGGTAGCATAAGATTAAGAACTGATAGTATTCAAAGAGAAAGTTTAAGTTGCATTGAAGGTATTGGAAAAAACAAGGTTCCAAGAATTGACAAACTACCAACTGAGATGTTTCAATGCTGTAAGCACTCACTCATCTAAACCAAGAAATTTGGAAGACAGCTACCTGGCTAATCTACCAGAAGAGATTCATATTGGTGTTCCTTCCCTATAAAGGTAATACAACAGAATGCAGAAATCATTGAACAATACCATTTCTATCACTGCAAGTAGAAAAGAATAAAACTCAGTTCAGTTCTCCATTAGCAGCAAGTATGATTTCCAGCCCTGTTCGAGACAGGTAGCCTGTACTGAGCTATCAGAATTGGGAAGAGGTTCACAATAAGGACTAAATACATATTCACTGAAGGAATGTGTAGCCTATCTAAGTATGAGAAAACAGCTGGGTTTTTGTTTAACTAATGTGTGTGAGTGTGTGTGTGTGCATAGTTGTTGTTAAGTGCCATTGAATCTGTTGCAACTCATAACAACCCTGTATAGGATTTCTGAGGAGCGACTGGTGGGTTTGAACCGTGTATGAATTGAGTCATGATGTGGTACTATAGGATAAAAACTGGAATGGCTAACCGAAAGATCAGCGGTTCAAACCCACCTGCCACTACTCAGAAACCCTATACAGGATCTCTATGAGTTAGAGCCAACTTGATGGGACTTAACAACCCCAAAAAATATATATGCATATACTCTATATACATCTACTAAGCCCTTGTGTGGTGCTATAAGATAAGCACAGCACTAGACTGGTAACCGAAGGTTGGCACAGTTCAAATCCACCAGCCACTCCTGGAAACCCTATATTGGTTCACTGTGAGTCAGAACAAATTAGATGACAAATTATATATGTGTATATGTGTATGTCCTTCCAGTTCAAGCTAAAAGCTAGAGGACCATTTGATGAAACCTGTGTGTTTACAGAGGTCATCCATAGGGACTTCCTAACTACAGTTTTCTCCCCTCTCTTGGAGTTTGACTTTTTTAGGCAATCTGCTGCAAAAGAATTATTGAAAGTGTTAAAGATCAAGAATGTCAGTTTGAGGACTAAGGTGCACCTGACCCAAGCCACGGTATTTTAAATCGCCTCATGTACATGGGACCTTTGGCCAATGAATAAGGAAGGCCATACACTAATCAATGTATTTGAATTATGATGCTGGCAAAGAATATTGGACTACCACAAGAACAAACAAATCTCAAACAAGGATGATGAGACTTGGTTTCTCATGTTTTGGACATGTTGTTAGGAAGGACCAGTTCCTGGAGAAGGACATCATGCTTGGCAAAGTGGAGAGGATCGGTGAAAAAGAAGAAGACCCCCAATAAGATGGAATGACACATTGGCTGCAACAGTGAGCTCAAACATAACATTATGAGAACAGCACAGGACCAGGCAGTGTTTCATTCTGTTTGTTGTGCATAGAGTTACTGTTAGTTGCATCTGATTCAATAGCTCCTAACTACAACTTTGTTTATAAACTTATCTTATAGTGCCACGCCAGAGATTAATATATGCATGTTGTTGTTAAGTGCCATCAATTTGATTCCAACTCACAGAGACACTGTATAGGGATTTGGAGGTGCAGCTGGTGAGTTTGAACTGCTGACTTTGTGGTTCAAACAGACCTTGCAGTCCAACGCATTAACCCATAGTGCCATAACAGGACTCCCTATATGTATATGAAATATATATTTTTCTGTTGTGGTAGTTGTTAAGTCCTACCAAGTTAGTCCTGTGTAGCATTTCTAAGGAGTGGCTGAAAATGGTTTCAGAAAAATGCTGCCTAAGCATGAACCACTGAGGAAAATATCTCCTTCCGAATGGGACAGTTTGAAGGAGCCATTATCCATGTAGATTTTTGTTTGTTTATTGTATTTTTTAAATTTCCTTATTTATCACATGCAAAAAACAGTGAGACACTCTTAGGGAATTGCTCTGACCCCTTCAGAGTTCGAGGTCCTTGGATATACACACTTACCACGTTGGCCAACTGTGTGATGGCCACTTCAAAATGCACCGTGACAGGATCAGAAACATTTTCCACAGGCCTGATGAACTGGTTATAATGAGAGAAGAGTTTGTGAAAGAGTCTCTCCTCAGATGCACAGCCCGTGCAGCCTGCATTGGTCAAACAGAAGGAAGAGTCAGAGAAGCTGAGAGGATATGGGCAGGCCAGGCTGGGTCTGGGCCCATTCAGTCATCAGGTAATAGGGGAAGTGTGGCATCCAGACCACTAGGGCATCCCCTTCCCTGTGCTTTTTCTTTGTGCCTGTTCATGTTTCTACTTGTGCCCATTCTACCTTACCTCTCTGAGCCTCGGTTGTTCACCTTTAGAATAAGAGTGGCAATCTTAATGCCTACACCACCACAGGACAGTCTGATAACCAAATGCCATGTTAAGAGCGCTTCTGAAATTCTAATGCACTTCTACTTGGTATATATCCTTAAGAAATAAGAGTTGTGATACAAATGGATACATGCTCACCCATGCTCATTACAGCACTATTCACAACAGAAAAAAAAAAAATGGAGACAGCCTAAATGCATATCCGTGAAAGAATGAACAAACTGTGATACTTACACACAATGGAATACTATGCGACGATGAACAGTAACATGAATGAATCTGAAGGACATTATGCTGAGTGAAATTAGTCAATCACAAAAGGACAAATATTATATGAGACCATTATCACAAAAACTCAACTAAAGGCTTTGAAGCTAAAAGAAACATTCTTTGATGGTTATCAGGGGTGGCAGGAAAGGGAGATTAATTCACTGGTGAGAGGGTAGACACATGTTAACTTGGGTGATGGGGAAGGCAGCATACAAAAGAGGGAGGTTGGCAGAAGAATGATGAAGGCAGGAGAAGACACATGGAGGAAGGCAAGAGTTACAGGGAATAGAGCTAAATACTGTTTTATACATAATCCTCTAATAACAGCAATCTATGGGTAGGTACATGGACAGATACACAGGCTAAATAGATATAGGAAGGAGAGTGTGAGTATGCCCACAAATATATAATAGTTTGACAGAAGATGTTTATACATCTTTGCTGCAAGCATATCCAAGAATGTGGTGGATCATATTGTTGTTGCTGTTAAGTGCCATCGAGTGGGTTTCACCCAAAGAGACTCTTTATAGGACTTCTGAGGAGCAGCTAGTAAACTTGAACTGCCAACCTTGTGGTTCAAACTGACTTTGCAGTCCAGCACATTAACCCACAGTGCCACACCAAGACTCACCATATATGTATAATGTTGATCCTACAGTGCCACACCAGCAGTTCACTAGAGTCCTGTACTATGTTCACAGTCCCACCCAGTCATTTGATGAGAATTAAAACCTCA